GATAGAAAGAGAGAGATAGAGAGAGAGAGCGCGGGCATAAGGGGTATGGGCAGCAAATAGCAAAAGGGGCGGGTTGGGAGTTGTTGGGCGTAAACTTATTTTAAGTAGCATTTCGATATATATATAGTATATGCGTTTTATAATCCGAGGTGCAAATTGCGATGACTTAAGCTCTAAGTATTTTCTGCTGCTCAGGTATTGGTGCAGTTGCTGAGGAGGGGATAGGGGAGGCGGGCAGTGGAGGAGTATGGAGTGTGGAGTGTGGAGTGTGGAGTGTGGAGTGTGGGGGATTGTTTACTCTGTGCTATCCACTTTCTATTGGCCAGACGTGCCGGCATGTGCCATGATGTTCAGCGGCCAAGCGGTGTCACTCACCGCGCTGATGCCCAAAACTATGGCTCTGCCGACTTCCGGCACAAGTCGACAACAACTGACAACAACAACAATGTCTAACAACAACTGGCTGCATAAGTGTTAGGTTAGATACCCTGTCGCCTCTCGACTGGCCATTGATGATTCAATGGACTGCGTTGCAGCGCCGCTTTCTATATATAGACATATGACCGATGTTGGCAGCGATTGCAAAATGTCGATAAAAATCAATGAACTCGGCAATTAGCAACAACAAAATCGACTTAGTTGAAATAATTAATGAATTGCTAAGCACTGCGCATTTGCGAGCAACAACAACAGCAACAAACAACAACAACAACAGCAGCAAGAAAAATAACATTTAAAGAGAGTAAACAATTGTTGCGCATACGCCGCGTATGCCCTGGCTGTTGTTTTTGATGTGGGCCAAACAATTAAGCCGCAGCGCTGCCAAAAGAAAGTTGATGTGGCAACAACATGTGGCACACCTCGCCTCAATGTTGTTGTTGTTGTTGTTGTTTGTTGTGCAAGGGGAATATAAACGAGTCTGACCAGAACCAACAACAGAACCAGAACCAGAGCCACAACCAGACACCAGAGCCAGTTCCATTAGCAGTTCCATTACCAGCTCCATTGCCAGTTCCCGAATTCAATTCAGAACCAGCCAAACAGTTTCGATTGCGCACGGCAATTAGCGCGCTAACTATTCGCTGCAAAGCCCCGAGTCGAGAATGTCGCGCTGCGAGCTGCACGTAGCTTCAGATTGCGCAAATTAAAAATACAAAAAAAAAGCAAAATAAAAACGAATAATAATAATACTAAAATACAAAAACAAACACACACACACACAAATACACAGACCCATTGACGAATTGACGCGGCAAGCTTGTAAAGTGTAAAAGCAATTATTTGCTAAGCGAGGGCTGTTTGACAAGTATATATAGTATAGTATATAGTGTAGTATAGTATATTATTAAGGCTATTCATTCTACTTCTAGGGGGTACTCGACGAGCAGATACCCTGATGCCTGGGCAGAGCTGCTATTTCTCTTCTCTTTCCATTCCACTCCGCTCTGTTCTTTATTAATTATTTTATTGAATTTGTTTTCTTTAACCATTTTTATTGTTCATTTCTGCCTCTCTTCTCGTCTCTCTGACTTCCTTTCTCTTTTTATTTTCTGCTGTTACATTTTCCTTTTCTCGACGATTCTCTTTTCTTCTTATCTTGTTCTTTTCTCATTCTGTTCACATTATTGCTCATTATCTTTTCCTCTGACACTCTCCTCAGCCTACCATCTTCCATTCTCTTCCCGTGGTCTTCTCTTCTTTACACTTCCCATCCTCTTTTTTCTCTGCTCTTTTCATATTCTTCTCTTCTTTAGCCATTATTCTCTGTTCTTAACATCCTATGCTCCCTTTCTCTTTCCATTTAATCTCTTCTCTTCCTTTTCCTTTCTCTTCCCGTTGCTTTATCATCTCTTCACATTCGGTACTCCTCTCACATTTTTCTTTTCTTCTCCTCCCATCTCGTCCCAATCTTTTCTGCCCTTTTTTCCGTAGTCGATCTCTTCTTCTTAATCCCAGATCGTCTTAATCTTAGCTCCCATTCTCTTCTGCTTGAGCAACCCTCGTCATGGCACATGGCCCCTGGCACATTTCGAATTGCATCTAGTTTTACACTCCACTGGGCATCCCTGGGCAGACGAAGGGGCCGAGTCGGCTGGGCTGCGAAAAGTGGGCGGCATTCGATTCGATTTGATTCATCATCGTGTCGCTGACTAATGAAAATCTGATCGATTTGTCACACTCCTGTTATCGATCGACACTAAATTCAAAGTTCAGCAAACTGTCTGTGGCCCAAGGCGAGCTGCGATAAAAACTAGCGCAAGAGTTAATTATTGCAATCTAGCACAGATTTCAGTGAGATCGCGTTCAAGCTGAAAACTATTAATCCAAAGAGCAATAAAACTGTTCAGGGAGTGGAACTAAATCGATCGATCGACGCAATGCATCGAYATGCAGATCTGTGAAGTAGCTGATTTTAATCAGAGTCAAGATCAATGTAGTCAGGATGATACATATATCCCTACTTGATTGATATATATATGCAGATCTGTCAGCTAGGCGAACTGAAAGTGAATTTAGATAGAGAACTACTTGGCATAGATTAAGATTCCTCATCTCTAATATCTAGTCTAGAAATCGATTTCATATTATGGACGATGTAGATGTATAGATAATTATAGTATATAGATTAACCTTCATCATCTCTTATATTATATCATCATCATCTCTTATATTATAGCTAAAGATTATTTAGTAACTCAGTTATTTTCTGTTCTCAAGAAGCAGCTAACATGTATTCCAAAATATCGATGACTTCATCCAATTTCACTTTTCCATTTGTAATTCAAGTTCTTTGTATTCTAAACAAGCAGATTTCACTTTTACAATAGACATGTCTTATATGAAATATCAAACTAATTTATCATATATTTATTTACAGACAAACTTAATTGACTAAATAATTGAGAATAGTATCCAATATATAGAATAAAAATATTTTAACATATATTATTATTAAATATATCGTATATATTCTACTTTATGAATTCAATATTCAGTGATTCATTGCTAAGAAAAATGATTGCCAATGCATTATACAGCATTATTATTATTACTGTTATTTGTGTTTCATATTCATTGTGCATTTTATGGGTGCTGCTATTTAATCAATATTTTTACGACTCCTGATTGGAATGGATTTTATTTGTTGATTGTTTGTTGGCTTGGCTACTTTTAGCGTTTCTTTCTATATTTTTTATAGGGTATTATCTGCCTGTACATTGCATAGTCGAAGATATCTTTGACCCTTTTCTACATTGCAGCATATTTATCGAGTTTGTGTCGATTTGTTTACCTCATATTATCAATTCATCAAGCCGATTGGCCGATAAATCTTTTGCAATGAGCTTTCCAGAATGACGAATCCTATTCGTCTATTCTTCCTGCTCTCGAGACTCAGATTAGTCATTTCACTCTCCCATAGCAGCAGCTGCGACTGCGTTAAGAGCTTTATATATTTGTCTCTCTCTCTCACTCACTCGTACACAGTGAGCCTTAGAGGATATTGCATTAGCTAGAAATATGCAACGTGTAGCTAAGACACAAACCTTTTCGGATAATATTCAGGCAGCAATTCTCAGCCTCACTAATACTACTGCAACAGCAGCAGGTAATTATGAAATGGGCAAATTATATATTATATGGCTTGCTTATATATTAGATATGAGAAATCAGATACAAATATACATATATAAATGGCAAGGGGATCAGTTTTTCAAATATATTTTACTTTAAGAGCTTTCCATACACTTAACTATTTTATTTATCAATTTAAAATTGTCTAGTTATTATATAATATTATATTATTTATGGAAAGGGTATTTTATGTTCCACTTATTACATTTATATTATATATAGAAAGCGTATTCTATGCTCAACTTATTTGATAAAAAAAATTAGTCTCACTTCATAGTTTATTTATCAATTTAGGAATGTTTTGGTACTAAAAACTCTGCCTGATTAGATATAAATATATTGTCTATTGTGGGTCAGTGACAATTGCACACACACATACACATACCTCCAGCCACGCCCACCACGCTGACAATCATTATTTGATGTGTGACAAATTGCGCGCTGTTGAAACATTTCATTTATGACCAAATTCTGTGCAATTGTTTGTGAGCAGCAACAATTGAAGGCATTCAGCAAAGCGTCGAGAATGACGGCAAAGTAAATACCAATTCAGCCGAGCTGAATGCGCGCTGAGCCAAGTGAAACTTTTCCGAATATCTATGCCTCTCTCCCTCTGTCTCTCTTTCTCTCTCTCTCTCCGTGCTCGAGTGCTAAAAAGTATGCGAGCTATCATTGTTTAGAGATTGCTTTGTCACAAATATTTTCAACACAATTTCAGGTACAGCAGAAAGTTCTGAGTGGGGAGTGCACGACTAGCAGATACCCTGTACACTAAGGTGAGTTTAAATATTAATAACAGGCTATATATGTATATATACATCATGTATGGGTAGTGCTCGACTAGCAGATACCCTGCTCTCTAAGCTAAGTTTATATATCAATAATGCTATGCTGTCTGTATATATATATATGTATACCTCAAAAGTGGGAAGTTAGCTCAGAGTCGAGTCTATATATCAATTATTCTATGCTCTCTGCATTTGTCATTGGTGGGAAGTGCACGACTAGCAGATACCCTGCACTCTAAGCAAAGCTGCTGTTTCAATCATTTTATGTTCTCTGTTTGTATACATTCGTGGAAAGTGAACGATTAGTAGATACCCTGGACTCTATGCAGAGCTGCTCTTTCAATCATACTGTATTATATGTACATCAGGTGTGGGCAGTGCTTTATGTATATATTTATATATCAAGATTGTGAAGTGCATGCCATGCAGATACCCTGGACTCTCAGCAAAGCAGGTGCTTCAAGCACACTCTATATTCTCTGTACATACTGATGTATGCAAACATAGCTGGGAAGTGCCTGACTAGCAGATAGCCTGAGCTTAAAGCAGAGTTGCTATGCTTTCATACACACGCACACATCAGCACTCGCTCTGCTTACTGCGCAGTTCACGCAGCGACTGCACTTGGGCTGCGCTCAAGGTCTCCACTGTGGGAAACTAATTGTTCAATAACTTTTTAAGATTCATTTCTGTAATGAGCGCAATAATGACATTCAGATATGTCCATCAATTTGTATGGCGTTAATCACGGGAGGTAAGGGAGGTTGAGCTATGTTTAGGGAGTTAACAAAAATTTGTTTATTTATCACAGGGATCTAGAATTTCCAACTTTAAGATCGAATCAGCTCATCAGATCAAAAATATAAGTAGACAGCACTACCTCTGAAATACATTTTTACAAAACCAATATGCCCCAAATTTCCAGTTTTAATGGGTATAATAAACAAGCTTAACTAGTTCAATTCAGAGTCAGGGAACCGAACATATTTATATTTATTTATTTATTGTGTGTGTTTGTGTGTGTCTACAAAAATAAAAGAATTTATTAAAGCTTTACCAAAGATAAATCAATATATTCCGATTTATGGCTCGAAATTAGCTTAGAACAATTTACAATCAACTTGGAAATTCGAACTCGTATCTCCTCAGACTTTTTTTTTACATAATATAAAAAATGCAATTTATTAAAAATAAATTAAGGCTTTAAGCCTGTTTCAATATACAAACCGGTTCGAGACTTGAATTTCAATGTATTAAAAAAAAGTTTAATCCAGACACAATTGATTTAGCAATACTATAAACAAATAACTTGAAAGTCAATCAATAAATTTATCTAATCATATTCCGAAAGATGCCAATTTTAGCTAAAGATTAAAGATCCCAGGTATTGTATTAAACAAGAAGGCATGAGTGATTACAGAATGAAGTTAAGAAAACCAAGAATAGTTGATCATGCTTCCAGGAAAGTA